GTTCTTTTTGACAATGTATGCAACACCATTCCCCTTCAATTTGTCATTTCCGGCATAGTAAACCATGTGGTCATCAGAATCAAAATGGCCAATTCCCGTCCATTTCAGCTCACTAATGCCTAAGATATCTATGTTTATGCATTCCATTTCAGTTTTGACAACTTACAATTTTCCTAGTTTCATACTTAGTACATTCCATGTTTTGAATTTCATTGGTTGTTTACAGCTGTAAACAGCTTCCTTTTGAGTTGTGACACATCAGCAAATGAAAGTCCCATGGGCTTTTCTCCCAAGGGCTTTATTCCATTCATGTCATCATGGTCAACTCTACTTTGAGAAGGCAGCTCTTTCCAAGTTGCATTTTGAGTGCTTTCCAACCTGAAGGACTCATTTACCGGCACTCTATCTGACAGTGTTTCTCTGCTATTCATAAGGTTTTCAGTGACTAAATATTGGGAATAGTTCATCACTCCTTCCTAGTCTATCTTCGTCTAGAAGCTCATCTGAAACCTTTCCACCATGGGTGACCCTGCTGGTATTTAAAATACTGGTGGCATAGCTTTCAGAATCACAGCAACTCACAAGACACCACAGTACACAAACTGACAGACAAGTGGTTGTAATCACGTATAGCAGTTAGTAAGGACAGAGGCCAGGTAGCGCTATAGGATAAGCACTGCACAGCTAATTGCCAGGTTGGCAGTTCAAATGCACCACCTTTTTCATGTAAGAAAGATGCAGCTGTCTGTTCCTATGAAGACTTGCAGCATCAGAAAACCTGTATACAGAATTGCTATGAGGTAGAATTGACTCCGTGACAGTGGAAATTAGTAAAGGGTTATCACATGTGCAGTTTACAAAAAGGTTAGTAATTGATTCAATTATCAAAGAATTGTAATATAGGAAATCATATGTAACTGTAATGCTACACTCAGTGCAATTTAAATGTTGTGATTCAGAAGATTCTTTAAGATCCTGAGTACCTTTTAGTATATCATTATGAGAAATTATTCTTCTTAAGACATGTAAAAGTGTTTGGTTTAACAAAATGTGATCTCGAATTGTTTAGGAAAAAATAACTTTTTCTTTTTGTAATTGATTTAAACTAGGTGACAGTTAAGACTTCCTTTCCACAAATACTTGGACAGGTAAGAAAGATTTCTGGTTGATTATTTATTGCTTATGAGTAGATAGTATAAGACAGAAGTGGCAAGCTATTTCTATAAATGGCCAATAGTAAATATTTTAGGCTTTGCAGACCACATAAAATGTCTGTTGCCACTATCACTGCTTCATTTTTTTTCTTTCTTCTACCATTTTAATAAAATAAATCTAAAACTTCTTGGTCTGTGGGTTGCATTCGCTATCACTTGCTTTAGTTGATGTTTTACATGATAATTCTTGGAAATACTTTCTAGAAAGAGCTGATACTCAGTTTTCAGACAATATTTTTGCCAAAATAACTATCAAATTAACATTTCATGTTTCTCATACTATTATTAGAATTCATTTATAATAAAATGGGTGGATTGTGTCATATAAATGGATATTTTCAAAGGACTTGTACATGCTCTGTTTATAAAAGGTAAAAGTTTATTAAATGTAAACATGTTAAAATTGTTTATTTTACAGAAGTATGAAACGACATAAAAATCATGATGCTGATTATTCAAGAAAGTTGCATAGTTTTGAATTTCACTTACAGCTTTTATTACTTTCACTTTATTTTTAATCTGTTTTGCTTTGTAATTCAGACGTACTAGAAATGTTAAATCATAATATGTTAAGTCATTCATAATACCATGAAAAAACTCACAAATCAAAATAAATAAGTTATTTTTATATACATTGTTTCCTTTGATCCCCACAACAACCTGGTGAGAATTAT